TTAAGGGATGGCCAGACCTGCAGTCTGGGCCTTGGTGTGTGTTTTTCTATGGGCCCCTGTATCTTGTTACCTGCATTCCTGTTCCTGTTCCTGCCTAACTGACTCGTTGCCAACCTTGCCTGATCCTGACCTCTGCTGACTTCTCCTGTTTGATCCCTGGCTTGTGACCCCGACCATTCTCTGCCTGACCCCCTGTACCTACCTGCCCGTTAGTTGCTGTACCCGGCTCGTGACCTGACTACTCTCTGCCTGCTCCTCCTGTTCCTACCTGCCTGATTGTTATTGACCCGGCCTGCCTGACTACGCTTGCATTGTATGTATTGTTATCTGTGGGTGGCTTGGTTTGGTTCGTTTGCACTTTGTTTATGTTTTAGTATTGCACTGCGTTTTGTATTGTTAGTATTAATAAATTATATTGTTTATAACATATCTGAAGCCTGTGTTTCCCTGCGTCAGTTCACATACCTCTGGTCATACCCGGAGCCCTGACAGGCACCTAGGATAACATAGCACAGCTAGAAATATAGTTTGAGTGATTTAGCATTGGATGTGGCTCTAGTTTGATGTTGGTAAGAGGTTTCAATGGCGTGAAAGGTATTCTGCAGTAATAAACGTGTTTTTAGTCTGGTCCTACCTGTACTTTAACAGTAAAACTTGCTGACTTCATAAGTACAGTAGATCTTATAGTACAGGGTCTGAATAACATGATCACCTGGCAATAGAGAGTGAAAGTGGCATGCAAGTCTCATGACTGTTGGACTTGCAGAATACCGAGGCTAATACTTACCCCTAATCCATTAAAACACCACCACCTTTCAAACCTTCCCCACCAAAATGACCACGCGACTCTCTTTCTGGGGTAAAACCGGCCATAGCAGCCATTTATTTAACATAACTCAAACATAACACTTCTTACAGTACACTTAAATGATAACTGACAGTAAGATCCCAACTGGGTCCAAGGTCTTCGAAGGCACTGTTACTCCCATCACAAACTGGGCTGTATCTAACACCCAATGAAAGGCCCCAGCCGCTACTACACCGCCTCGGGGACAATAGAATAGTTACGTAGTCCCAGATACAGCCAATAATGAACTCCCACATTACCAACATGACCTTATAATTGGGAAGGAACACCCATACCTACGATGGGCCCAACCCATAATTCACCAAATTGTCACTCCAATACCGCCTTCAAAGACCTATCGACCCCTGCCGGCTGCCATGACAAAACAAACAAACACCTCGGGACACAAACGCAATGTACCCACACAAAACAAACACCGAACAAACACCACAAACAAACAAACCAAACAGCAAAACCAACACCAGGACAAACACAAAGGACAAACCATAACCAACACAGCAAAACAAAACACGAAAACAGCTCCAGGGAGGGAGGGTGGGAAAAACCACCCCTGTGCTGGCACAAGCTCTGACTGAACTCCGACAAGACCCAACCCCCCTTCAAATTCTGGCAAGACCACCTCTCCAATCAGGTAAGTAACCACCTCCCCCCCCTTTACCTCCTGCATAAACTCCCAACCAAAAAACACGCTCTGCCTCATCTGCATGCCCCAGTCATGCTGGCCCTCCTTTTAGCTTCGCTCAGTCCAGGCCTTGACTTGAAAGTCAGAAGTAGCTTATAAATAATTTTGCAGGTTAAACAGTCCACATTTATGACAACTTTGTATTTAGCTGTTTGGCTAGGGTTCTGATTGAAATTGATTTCAAATAGAAATATAGTCTAAATATGGAAAAAAAAAATGCTATAAGGAGAGTTTTTGTTGGCTGAGACTTTGGGGTGTATTTTTAAAAACAATTACAGAGCTGTTTGTCCTGTGAAATGGCATGTTACATTTGTTCTACAAATGGGGAAAAATAAAATGTTATTAGGCTGTTTTCTCTGGAACAGTCCATGGTTCACAGCTGGGGACCCTGAAGCAGTATGAGCACAAGTAGAGGCTTTACTCATTTGATTCAGGTTTATAGACAGTCCATAGGTGCAGCCTGTTGCAAAGTAGCCCAGTATTCAGCCCATAGGGCTCCAAGGTCAAGAAGACCCTCAGGTCACTGATCCATCCCCACAGTGTGAAAAGGCCAACTCCTCAGGGTTCCAGATTATTTAACACTAATCCAGCCCCAATCTGGGCACACTTTCCCAGGGATTGGCAAGGCCCTGCTGAATATTCAGACTGCACATTTGAATTCTTCTTCCTTAAGTGGTAGAAACTTCTTCTAGAGGCAGGGGGATCCAGGATCCAGGCATTGCACCCACAATCTGCTGATCATGGGAGTAATGCCTTACAGATTGCATTGTAAAAAAATAATAAATGCACATTTTTTACCTGTAAAATGATGTGCATTTATTATTTTTCGTAAATGGTGGATTTATCCTTCAAATTATGCAATATCATATTTTATATTCTACAAACAAATTGGGTATTATATTGTGTTTGTGTGCACTAAAATTCCTATACATGTATTTTTCCTGAAAATTTGTGTTTGATAAACACCTGCACAAATATCGTATATTATATAATGTTTGGGGGTTCAGAGTACTTTTCTAGCAAAAAAATGCTGATTCTAACATGTATTTGTAAAATAAAACAATGCCCAGTAGATTGTTTTGCCAATTAGAATTTCTTCCTATTGGGTCTACAGCAACTTCTCTTGTAGTATATTTGTATTTTCTTCTTTTCACGAGTAAACTGCTCAATAAAAAAAAAATTATAAGAGAGTTTTTGAGCAGAAGAGACATAGAAAATATCTTCTGCCAAAAAATTCTCTCTTGCCCCTAGCACTTTTTTATTTTATAATTCTCACTGCCAGTATCTGTCAGATCCTGAGAAAGAATCCCGGAGCTGGGGAAGAGGTAGCTCTTTGAGCTCTGTGAGCTGGAATTTCATTTTTAGTCACTGCCCAGTGGCTTAAAAAGGAGTCCAGAAAAAGGTATGGGAAAAGATGGTGGTCACAAGAAAGGTAGGGGTGACTGAGAGCATAGATTAGTGCTGGAGGATGGCACTCTTGTAAGTGTGCCACAATGTGCAAGCATGCTTTGTATACTTGCACTTTATGGCAAGAGCATCCAACGGGCTTTAGTTTTAAGGGCTAGTTCACACCAGATGCAGTTCATTTTTAATCTGCATCAAAAATGCATGCACAGTGTTTTCCATATATCTCAATTGCCTTAGTTCACACCAGTGAAGTGCATTCTAGTGCAGTCAACAAAAGTAGAACATGCTGCATTTTTTCTGTATTTAACACATTTGGAACAAAGTGAAACATCTGAAAAACACACAGAATGCATGTAAACTCACCAGAAATGCATCAGAATTCACGCATCTTGAATTGAGATGAAGAAAAAAGAGGGGAACTATCCTTCCTTCCCCTCATCTTGCCAGCTTACTCTATAGTCAAAAAGGGGCAGTGAAAAGTTTGTCACACTTATAATGGGACACAATCTGTATCTCAGGAGCTAGATTTCCTGACCAGGGTCTTGAAGACATTTGCACAAAACAAAAATGGCACTCCAACCTACAACCAGCCATAGTAGTAAAGTGCACATGGAAGGGCAATGCACATCACAAACAAACATTGGATTTCCCAACAGCACTCACCAGCCAGCCTGCAAAACAACCAATTTGGTCCTATCTAACAGTTTATGTTAAAAACAGAGGGTTTTGTTTGCACACATTTGCAAATACATGTGTAAGCCACAGTTCCACATCAAGAGTCCTCTGTATACTGTGGACCTAACTGTAAAATTTCCAGAGCCTCCATAGTAGGAGCACATATATAAATGGATAGGTTAAGGGCAGGTGTGCCTGGAGAAGCCCATCCTTCCTTAGAGGTACTGGGATGCACGCATCTCCCAGCTATAGCAAAATGATAGCAAAGGCATCCTGTGCATCCCTGCATCCAAATTGACCAACTGCACAAAAAATGGCAACCGTCCCAACCAAAAACAGCCTTAGCAGCAAGGTACCCATGGAAGGGTAATGTACATCACAAACAAAAGATTTCCCAGCAGCACCTACCAGCCAGCCTACAAAAAAAAAAAAAACAATAACATTTGTTCAGTCTTTCAGATTTTTCATATTTGAAGGAAGAGTTGTATGAATCTTACATAATATAGTAATATTGCTTTACTCTTATCTACCTCTGCACCAGACTTGCATATGTACAGCCAGGCAACATGCATTTTCACAATCTTGCATCCAAGAGTCAGTAACCAGTCCTTGATCTTGTTTTTTTTGTTTTTATTAAAGGAGTTAATAACTTGGATGGGTTAGGAGTATGTATGGGATGCCCAATGGAACAGAGAAACAAGAGAGGACAACTTCCTGGAACTATTTACAGGTCTTTGCAGCAAAACAGTTTCTTTTGGAGAGCTAGTCAGCATCTCCTGTAGTACCACCCCAGACAAATCCTCTTCTTTACCCAGCTATCTGGAGGAGTCCCTGAGCAGAGCTGTCTACCACAAATTTAGTGAAACAGTCTTGAGTGGCAGGCTAATCCAGCTTCCCACTAGAGTGCCTCCTTCCCCTTTCTTGCCCAAGGGGTGCAGGTTTACTCAGTCAGTCCTTCTCCTGTGCAGTTGGTGGGTTGGTGGCTGCTACCAGGCCTTCTAGCTGGGCTGCTCCTTCCCTGCTAAACAGGCGGTCCTCGCTCTGGGGGCTGGTGAAGATCTGATATTTCTTCCTTCCAGGATCCACTGCCAGTAGGTGAGTCCCTCTCCATCTGGGCACTCTCCCAGGATCCTCTCACCAACCTCACTTCATTTCCAACTTCCACATGAACTCTCCTGCTACTGAGCAAGCTCTCTCACTTTTAAGGGTTGTCCTGGTCCCTTGCCAAGCCTCCTTTCAAGGATTGAAAGGATCCCTCAAAAGTGCAGATCAGCAACTCCTCCTATCCACTTACTGCTTCTAGATCTTAAAGTGTTACTAAACCCAGGACCCTGCATTTACTATATATGGTCTCCCACAGTACACAGAACATGGAAATGTAATTATTATAGTAAATATAAACTGCTAAATACCTTTTCTCATCAGCAGTTAGAGCAGTCTTGTGACTTCTATAAGTGTCCAGCAGAGTACTGGTTACAGCTTGTAAGTGAAGTTTTCATTCTCCTGTAGGAGGATGCAGAACCCCTGACTTCTGCCTGGAGAGTGCTGATTGGCCCTGTACTAATCACATGCACTCTCCCAAGAAAAAAAGAACTCTCTAGCAATACACACCAAACTGAGCATATGCAGCTTGCCCCAGAGCCTTTGTTCTATCAGGAGATATATAGTAGACACTGAAAGAAGGGGAGGATCAGAGAAGACAGGATCAAACATCCTTTTTACACAATGCAGAGAATTAACCCCTTAGGTTCCACAGTGAGAATAACAAGCATGCTTTACTGCATATACAGACTGATTTTACTGTTGTGGGTTTAGTAACACTTTAATCCAGCAAGGGGAAATTCCAGAGGGCTGGTCTGCAGAACCTCTCAGCCAGGAGCAGACTGACAACTCATGGGGCAATAGGGGATGATGGGGCCCCTGTGTCCTTGCCCAAACTCAAAAAAGCCTATGAAAAAGATACCAGGGGCATCTCATGGGGCCCCCTACTGACCACGGGCCCTCGGGCAGTGCCCGAGTTTCCAAATGGTCAGTCCGCCCCTGCTCTCAGCTCTGACCATAACTTGATCCCTGTTAGCTATCACACCCAGGCTGCTACTCAGCCCTTCTCACTAACAATTGGAGTTTAGCTTTCCCTAGGAGAATGATACACATGTAATGAGTAGGGTGAATGAAGGTTTGCCTAGCATAAGTGGGTTACAGAATCTGAATTGTCCCCAAGATTAATAAGGCATCCATTCAACCTGCCATTGTCCTTTGTGCATATCTTCCTTCCACAATGGCAGCACTTCTAAGACAGCTATATGGGGCAGCATTATGCTATGTGTTTTTCCTTTCCTGCCTTGTAACACTGTGTTACATCACATGTGTGACCCCCTTTTTGAAAGCACCAGCTTTAGAAGGCTTACATTCAGTCATGGATCCAAGTATATAAAGCCACCCAGTTCAATATCTACCATGACCACACAAACACCCCCTGAACTGTCCTTTTTCTTTGTTGCACCTTTGTTCTAGCACAGTGTGCATAGGTAGTTTGTATTCACCTTCTTAGGAAGATTCAGTAGGTCAAACCAAGCCATATACCCTACTGATACCAAAAGAACATTGTCATTATACAAGGATAAAAAAACCTTTTGCAAAGTACAATCCCCCTCATTCACATGGAAATTTGAAATGTGAGTTATAGATTGCTGCTGTTACAGTGACAAAACAAAATGGGTATAAATGGCAAGGTGGATCAGAGCTTAACGCTAAAGTCAACTTTCAAAAACAAGAATGGGTTTGAAGCTACGAAGCTGTCTTGTACATTTCAATGACCGCACTGACATTGCTTCTCTTTTCAATATAAACCTCTTCTGACAGCACTGCATGGTGGTCAGAAGAATAATCTCCCAGGGTCATGGGGAGAAATTAATAATTAGGGCTTTTTCCCTTGGTCTCAACACCTGAAAGTTTTCTTTTCTTGTTCCTTTTTACAAAAGCTTACAAAAAAGGCCTTTTCAAGCTATTGAGGCTACATAGTATTGCCAGAGCTTTCTGTAGGTTATATAGAGTCAAAAAATGAAAAGGTTTTTTTTCCTGAAGAAAGAAGGCATCTCTGTAGAAAAAGGCTAAGCTGTTCTGATGAATTATGTGAACACAGATATTTAAAGAGACTGGCGTTCCGTGTTTTAAAAGTAAAATAGTACAGAGGGGGTCTCCAGCACAATTTCAGGCTAGCCAGCAAAAAAAAAACCCTAGGTAATCTGTTTCATTTACTTAGGTTAAAAACTGAAAATTTTGTTCCATACATTTGCAAACACATATGGAAGCTACACTTCCATGTCAATACACCTCTGATAAATATGGTCCCTACTGCTAAACGATCCAAGTTTTCAAACTATGGGGGAAAACAGTATATGGCAATGCACTAACAGAAAGCAGGCTCACCTAAAGGTGTCCACAAGGCAGCTGAAGACTTCCAATTTGCATCTGCACCAGAAAAAGGCAAATATGGCAGCTGCGCTGGTCTGTTTGAAACCAGGAAGAGTGAAAAAAAAATGCATATGGGCAGCGCAATATACAAAACTCTACAATACGGGTCCCTAGTACACTTTTAAGCTAAGCAGCAAAAAGAAAAAAAGAATGAATTTGTTTCAAATACTCAGGTTAAAACATACAGTAGCTTTCGACACAGTCGACCACCCCCTCCTCCTCAAAAAACTACACTCCTTGGCCTCAGAGATTCCGCCCTCTCCTGGCTCTCATCCTACCTATCACAACGCTTCTCAGGCGTTACCTATAATGCTACCACCTCCCCTTCACTCCCCCTCTCTGTTGGGGTCCCTCAAGGCTCTGTCCATCTACACTCCTCCTCCCTTGGCCAACTCATACACTCTCACGGCTTCAACTACCACCTCTATGCTGACGACACGCAAATCTATCTCTCGACCCCTCGCCTCACCCCCTCAGTCTCTGCCCGAATCACAAGCCTACTGAACGACATATCAGATTGGATTTCGTTCCACTTCCTTAAACTGAACCTCTCCAAAACTGAGCTCCTAGTCTTCCCCCTAGCCCGCACACCACCCCCCATTGACTTCTCCATCACGTCCAACAATGCCACCATCAGGCCCGCCCCGCAGGCCAGAGTACTTGGTGTCATTCTCGACTCCAATCTATCCTTCCAGCCCCAAGTCCAGTCACTAACAAACTCATGCAGACTTCACATCCGCAACATCACCAAAATACGCACGTTCCTAACCCCAGAAACCACCAAGCAGCTCATCCACTCCCTCATCATATCACGACTCGATTACTGCAACTCCCTCCTCACTGGCCTGCCTCGCCACAGGCTATCCCCGCTTCAGTCGATCCTGAATACGGCAGACAGACTCATCCACCTTAACAACTGCTCCGTTTCCGCCACCCCCCTCTGCCAATCCTTCCACTGGCTTCTGATTGCCCAATGGATCAAATTCAAAATCCTAAGACTGATGTACAAAGCTGTCCATCATACTGCCCCAAACTACATCACCGACCTAATATCCAAGTACCACCCAACACGCACTCTCCGCTCCTCACAAGACATCCTTCTCTCTAGTTCCCTGGTCTCCTCCTCCCATGCCCACCTCCAGGACTTCTCCAGGGCGTCACCCATCCTCTGGAACTCCCTACCCCAATCCATCAGACTATCACCTACTCTCCTCTTCTTTAGGCGCACCCTGAAAACCCACCTCTTCAGGGGAGCCTACCCCACTCCCTGCTAATTGCCGACCTCCTCCACTCTTCCTACCACTCCATCCCCCACAGCTATTTCCTCCTGTATCACTATCCCCTCCCTCCTAGATTGTAAGCTCCAAGGAGCAGGGCCCTCGAACCCCTCGTGTATCGCATTGTATTGTTATTGTACTGTCGCATGTACTGTCTCCCATTGTAATGTACAGCGCTGAGCGAACTGTTGGCGCTTTATAAATACTGTATAATAATAATAATATATTGCAAATACATGTGGAAACCACTCAGTCAAGTGATTGTAAAGGTTTACATTTTATTTTTAAAACAACAAACATGTCGTACTTACCTGCTCTGTGCAATACAGGGGCACTTTCTCTCTTGCTTTGGTGGCACTCTTTCAGGTTCTTTCCCAAGTCAGTTCTGTGTGTTCATAAGAAACACAAATCGGGGTTCATCCTCACTGGCTGTGATTGACAGCAGTGGGAGTCAATGGCTCCCGCTGCTGTGTCTAAACCCATGAGGAGGGAGAGAACCAAGCACATCACTGGATCTAGATCGGACTCTGGTAAGTATAAGGGGGCACTGACGGGAAAAGTTTATGCAGAAGATTTTTTTTTACCTTAATACACAGAACAGACCTGGTCTCAGGACTATGCACAGAGAAGCAAGAGAGATCGGGTTGGAGATCTGGAAAGTGGTTGGAGATCAGAGTACAGATCAGGGTTTAGTTCCGGTACTGCGACTCCCTGGCACTGACGGCAGACCCATGCAGCAGAGGATGGCTGCTGCTGTCACTTATCATCCAGATGCTGCTGGAGGGCCGGCGCCCAAAAGTGCTGCCTAGATGGAAACAGCTGGCTTCACCCACCAGCCCTGACAGCTCCGCCTCCTTTAAGGAGCTAGTCTGCGAGGATGACTGGTCCTCAGGTGAGCCAGCAGAGGGTGTCAGTAGTGGGGGGGGGGGGGTCGGGGTTGAATTGGGAGTCACCCAGGCTACAGGCTAAGTTTGGGTCCCTGAAAATTGAGCAGGAAGACTGGTCCTCAGATGACACCAAGGAAGAATGGGACTGGGGGGGACACTACAGAGTTCTCAGACTCAAAGATGGGCCCATAACACGGAGTTGGAGTCTCTGTGCCATAAACCAGAGAGTCGTTAATCCCTAAATCGCTGTTGGCTTTTTTAATGTAAAAGCCCAATAGCTCTGGTAAGAGCTCTTGCATGTCTGTTGTTTTTCATCAAGATTATAGAGGTGTCATCTTCCTCCTTTCTTGGTGCACTGAATGTGTTTTTTTCTGTTCTTGTTGGACTTTTTTTCTGATGGCCTTTAGCACTAATTATCATGAACTTTTATATGAATCAATTGTTTTTCACTGTATCCAGCACTGCACTTTTTTGTTATTTATATGTTGTTCGCTTGTCTTTTCCTGCTTGGGAATAAGAAGACTCTGCTGTTGTTATGGAAGGTTTCCCTTAAGGGGGAGGCACTCCATAGTTATATGCACATGTTTTAATATGTTGCTATATATTTCTACTTGGCTCTTCCACCATTAACTACAGGGAGCTGTAGTTAGGATATATATACGTGTATGCTGGTACTGTACATATGTAAAGTTTACATATCTAATATATTTTTCCACTGCTTAATTTATTTGTATATATCCTCTTCCTGTTTTGTTCCCTTTCCCCCTCGCCTTTTTCTGGATAGTGTGTCATGTTCCTTTTTTTTTTGTCTCACCCAGTGAGGACATGGCTATTTGTTAGCGGGGGTGAATGTAGCGCCCTCAAGTTTAGCTAGGGGAGCTAGTTAGTTTTTTTAGGTAGAGCCTGAGTAGCAGCCTGGGATTAGATAGCCTGGGTGCGAGTCAGCCAGGTTGTTTTAGGTCAGGGCTGAGGACTCTGCAAGTCAGTTCCCTGATACCTCCCCCTGCTCTAAAAGCTGGAGAAGTTTATAGAAGGCAGTGAGTGGGGGTAAGGAGGGGCTGATCTGCATACTTAAGGGATTTTGGCTAATTCCCAAGCAGGAGGCTTGG